GATGTGATATGCTTTAAAAAAAAAATCCTTCTGCTTGTACATAGAAGGTATTTCTCTTTTTTTTTTTTTTCATTCAAAATTGGGGTCCCAGTAATAGTTCTTGCCCAACTTACCTTTGTCCTTGATCTGTTCTACTTTTTTTTTTTTTGGGTGAAGCAATTGGGGTTAAGTGACCTGCCCAGGGTCACACAGCTGGTCAGTATCATGTGTCTGAGGTTAGATTTGAACTCAGGTCCTCCTGACTCCAAGGCCGGAGCTCTATCCACTGCGTCACTTAGCTGCCTCAGTTCCACCCTTTTCTAACACAATTTCTTTGGGAGATTTCCTTGAATACATATGTATGTGATACAAATGGCCGCTTCTCTAGATCTATAATAGATTTTGTGCCATTTTATATTGTAAAAATATAACTGTATTTGCAACAGTTTGCATACTATATTCATTCTCATTCATCCACCAGAAAGACATTATATCTGGTTGACAAGCAATCTGTTGATAGAATTTAATCTTCAGTATTCCACATTACTTCAGCTCTGAGAGATTCATATAACTGAAATATTTGGAAAAAGAGTTATAAATTTTGTGCCTTTTGAATAGATGGGCTGCCACGGTACAACATTATATTACATCAGGGAACATATGATCAATATAGTCCACAGTAAAAATCACCTTGAGTTATTAGTAAAGTTGGGAATGTGTGTTGTGCAACTTGTCAATGAATACTTGTTTTTATCCTAGAATCTAGGAAGGCTGTGTGTTGTAGTATACAGAGAACTGGCTTGAGAGTCAGGAAGACCTGGGTTCATTTGAGCCTCTCAGGCATCCTGGTTATATGACCCTGGGCAAGTCACTTAACCTCTCAGGGCCCCTCAGAGCCTCTAAGGCTCTAAATTACACAACTGCGTTAGTAGAGGGCAACCCAGGAAACTCCTCATACCAATGAGATCACACGGTCTGACTTCTGCCCTCCTCTTCAAAACCCTGGGCTATGAGAAGCCACCTATATGGGAGGGAAGTTGATGATTATAGGTATTTCTCAAAACTCAGGAGATTGATCTCTGTTTTTTGTTATTCCTTAGAAGAATAGACAGATGTCTCAATAAAACTGATTCCATGTCCCTAAAACAGAGAAGAAACCTAAAAAGCAATATTTAACAGAAAGTACTGAAATAATCTAGATGTTCAGACCTTCCTGCTGTCCAGAGTTCTGGGTTATTTACTGCAAGGCCTTTGGGAGTGGTGAAGGGAAGTCTTAATCATGTCAGCTAACTTTATTTGATGCTGAATTTTTTATTGGCTATGTATAACAGGATCATAGGTTCAAAGGTAAAAGGGACCTTATAGGTCTTCTAGTCCAACACTCCTCTATTTTACAGATGAGGAAAGCAAGGCCAAGAGATGTTGAGTGACTTGCCCATGGCCATACAGATAATAAGTGGTAGAGATGGTATTTGAACTCAGATCTTCTGACTAAATCCAATAGTTCTTTCCTTTGTACTAAACTGTAAACTGTGAATGTGTTGTTCAAGATAGGAAAGAGCATGCACAGCAGGTCTGTCTATTGGCGTCTATGGATTGAAACCTGAGTGAGTTTATTCCTACCATTACTTACTTACTCCATTGAGACTGTAATGTGGATGATTTGATCATTGAGGAGTTTTGTACCTTACTAGGAAATTTTAAATTTGGGCTAAAATTCCTCTCTCAACTTTAAACTTACGTAAATTTGCTATGTCATTCTTACCACTTCTTCCTGCCAGGCTTCTGCTTTGCTACTTTCATTTTCAGTTTGATCTTTAAAAAAATCGTTTAATCCTTGCTTGGCTCAGCCACCTGCATTGTAAGCTATGAGAATAAGCATTACCATTTGCTTTGGCTGTTTGAGAACAAATTGTGGGGGACAAACCTGTTTAGGCAGGGTAGCAAGAATGTTTTTTGAACTTGCATCTGGAGAGTGTTTAACTTTTGCAGTGCTCTGAGTCTCATCTTCATGTTCGGACCAAGTGGTGAAATGTGACACAAGACAGAGAAGGGAATTGGCAGCAGGCCTGGGGGCATAAATAGCTTCTTTACTTTAAAGTATATTTTACAGCCAGGGGAACAGAAAGGAAATAACAGTTCTTCAGGCTCCTCATTGAGTAATTGAAATAAGAAACAATTGTATTGACAGCAGGAAACTGCTTCCTTTAAAATAAAACAAAACAAAAAAAACTTTGAAAGAAATGATTGCAAACTTAAAAATCAACAAGACTTATTAAGTATGTATACACTGGGATACAAACACAAAAATGTAACAGACTGTTCCCAAAGAGCATAGATTCTGCTGACAGGTGGGAGATGGGACAATATAACATGTTCATGGATAAGTAAGTGAAGGATATTTACAAAATAAATACAATGTGATGGAGGTGTGTTACCTTTACTAACAACTAGGGAGATTGGGAAAGGTCTCTTGACATAAGTGGCATTTGAGCTGAGCCTTAAAGGGTTGTGGGGATTTGAAGACAGACTAGGGGGAGAGGATTTTATGGAATATTCAGCACTGGCTGATGAAATGTTTGGTAAAAACAACAAATAGACCAGTTTGTCTGGAGTGCAGAGAGTGTGAATGGGGAGTAATGTGTTACTAGGCTGTAGGTTGGAACCAGATTATGAAGGATTTTAGTGCCAAATAGAGGTATGGGTAATATATTCTATAGGCAGTAAGGATCCACTGAAGCTTTTTTGAGTAGTGGAATGACTTGGTCAAATGTGCTCTTCAGAATGATTGGAGTAGGGATAGACTGGACGCAGGGGGACGCTTATAATAGTCCATGTGTGGTGATGGGGGTTAGAGCTAAGGTAGTTGTGGTATGAGAGGACAGAACAAGATAGATATGAGAAATACAGTGAGATTGAATTGATTTTCGTTAACTGATTGGCTATAGGGGAAGGGGGAGAAGAGTGAAGAAATATGGATGACTGAAATTGTTGACCTGAGTGACTTGAAAGTGTTGCCTTCAACAGAAACAAGGGAGTTAGGGACAGGTTGGGTTTAGAAACGTATGTTTTTAGACATGTTCAACATTAGATGGCTGTGGGATAAGGACAGGTGGAGATGTTAGCAGACAAATAGAGATCTGGAACTGGAGCTCAAGAGAGAAATGAGAACTGAATATGTAGATTGGGGTGTCATTTATATAGAGATGATAATTGAATACATGGGAAGTTCTCTCTCTATATACTTTTAAGGGGCATGTAAAGGAATTGAGACATTGGTGGTTGTGGGAAGAAACAGCAAATCAGAGGAAAGGGACTCATGTAAAAAGTGGCACTTGAGTTGAGTTTTGTTTTTAAACGGTTTTTAGGAATTTGACTATGGGAGCAGCTTGGTGGCACAGTGGATAGAGCACCAGCCCTGGACTCAGGAGGACCTGAGTTCAAATTTGACCTCAGACACATAACACTCACTAGCTGTGTGACTTTGAGATTGTAGCAAAGGGAGTGAGAGTTTGGGAGGGATGACGTTTTGAGGTTTGGAATTCGGAAGGAGAGGATAGGTGACAGATGGCTTCTGTTTTTTTCAGTGAATTATGAGGTGAAATCTTTTGAAGAGGTGTGGAAAGGCAAAAGGTAAGGTATAAATAGCTTGAGGAGAAAATCTGGGGGGACAGCTAGGTGGCTCGATGGAGCACTGGCTCTGGAGTCAGGAGGACCTGAGTTCAAATCCAGCCTCAGACATATAACACTCACTAGCTGTGTGACTCTGGGCAAGTCACTTAACCTCAATTGCCTGAGGAAAAAAAGAATTTTGGTGTAGACACTGTGGAAAAGAAGTTGGTCAGTAGCTCCCTTCACTGATTTTCTATCCTACTCTGTTTCACTGGCTCCAAAATCTATGCTCCTAGATCTGATGACTATCTCCAGGTGTGCTCATCTGCCAGTTTGTGGGAGTTAGGGGGTGGATTACATGCTGCTTTTGATTAAACACATGTCACTGTCAATCAAAGAGGAACTTGCTATGAAGACTAGTGCCTAAGTTATACTGTTATCTGGTATAGCAAATTGGGTCTGTTTTGAAACTTAGTCCTGCTCTGCTTTATGTAAATTGTTTAGCATATATGTGATCAGTGTTGTAATGATAGTCAAAATTGGTTAATGTTAGAGACATTCATTTTGTAAAGTTTGACCAAGCTGGCCATTGTAAGAAAGATAAAAGCTCTACAAATACGAACATTTGCAACAGCAGGTGAACGTCCTGGTATGAAATAATTTATTGTTAACGGTGTGCCTGTTAAGTAATTCTTAGTGACTCTTGCTGTGTGCTGTGTTTACAACATTTGAGTACTTGCTAATGCTATGTAACTGCTATGCTGAGGAAGATACAGTTGACATTGTTGCTTGCTGAAGGGACTTGATTCCACTCGTAGTAGAAGTGAGAGAAATGAAGCAACTAATGTAATTACCAAACATTTCTTTGATTTTTTAAAAATAGTAATAAATATGACTTAAATCAGCATTTTTTTTTCTTTTGACAGTCTATAATTTTTTAACCTTTGGTGTTAATGTCATTGTGGATCCTGTATTGGGTGCTTTGTAGTAATATGATGGAACTTTCAAGGAGTTTGAATTTTAAAGTCATTCTTTTCATATTCCAGAGTAATAAGTATTGATAGCCTCTGACTCTCATTCTGTCTGTCTGTCTGTCTCCTGACTCCACACCTAACCTGTCCTGGGGCCTCTATGAGTGTGGGTACTTCATGAAATATGCTTCTGCTTATTTCTCTTGGTATTTGGTAATCTTTTCTTTATGGACGTACTTTTTCTTTTGTTACTTGGTGACAGCTGTGAGACTTGAAGACATATTCTAGGAATATGAGCATTTGTCATAAACTCTGAGGAGGAAACCATTGGGTTGGGTAGTGAAATACTGAAGCTTACTAAAGGGTGGATTTAGTTCTCTTAAGGGAGGCTTTATCCCACTGGGACTGAAGTGTGTTGCATTCTCTCTTGATTTGCAGGAACCTGCAAGCAGCTATTGGAGCCTACTATGATTTTGAGAGTCCAAACATCAGCGTGCCCTCTATGTCCTTTGTTGAGGATGTTACCATAGGAGAAGGGGAATCGATACCTCCTGACACCCAATTTACAAAAACGTGGCGGATACAAAACTCCGGTAAATGTGTGGCTAGGGAGTTTCCCTCGCCCACAACTTTTGGTTTCTCCTTAAACTAAAATTTAATAGAAGTTAAGAGGTAAATGTTTTAACTTGAGCTATACAATTGTGTAACTTTTTTTTTCTTCTTAAACGTGGTACAGCATTTTCTCATACTGCCATGGTGAACAAAGATCAGTACCTTAAAATATCAATGTCCTGACTAAGAAAAGAAATTGAGGTCTTCTCCTACTCTCTTCCACTCAACCACTTGTGACCTGGCAGCATATAAACATATTTGAACTTCCATGTAGGAAATGGAAAAGAAAGAGAAACCTTGTATGTGCTAGTGACTTCATCTGCTTCTGCTTCCCATTTTAGTTCTGCTCTAATTAGTCTTCACCTTCAGGGTTATTACCAGTGTGTAGTAGAAGAGGTGTCTTTTTGAGCAAAACTGGAAGGTTGAGAGTGTCGGTTAACAGCTATTCCTTTAAAAGTTCTTGTCATTTGGGACTACAGTGATAGTTCTGTAAACTGTTCACTGGGGCCTGAGTAGTTGTCTGTGATATTAAGACTTGGGATAGTCTTATCTCTGTGGAAGAGGAACTAAAAATTCTAGGAGTTTGCCTATTACCAGTAAAGAAAGAAAGATCTGGTTGGAAAACAAAATTTCATTGTATTGAATGGGCTGCTTTGTAGAAACATCCTAACTTTAAGGAATGTTAATTGTACTCCGTTTGTTAATAGTGAATCCAAGTACCATTTCAACTACTAGAAATCTCTTTTTACTGACCTTTTTTTTTTAGAATTGGGATTTTATTTCTTCAAATCTTGTGCCTGCTCAGTTAGCTAATGAAGGTATTTTGAATGAGTGAAGTCCTAGTAAAGTGGTCACTAAGTAAGTAGCCTGTTAATCAGTACTCTTGGAGAAGCACTGAGTGAGATGAAGCTCCTTAAAAGGGCAAGATTTAATTGGAACCTGTGGAGAAGACAGTAATGCAATTCTCAGAAGATGATCTGATGTGAGATGAAGCAAAACTCTGGACTCTCAGAACAAACCCAGAAAGAGATTATGACAATGGGACCTCCTTTAGTTTTTGCTTATATTTTTGATTAAAGAAAATGGTAAGAAAAAGCAAAACCAGAAAACTAGTAGAGTGAACTCACCTGTCTTAACCATCACATACAGTATTTCTCACATATTTTAGAAAATAGTCATACTTGGTTTGAGGGATCAGTATAGTTGATGAATAAGAATTTGAATTAATACTGCTTTATAGGTGATGCTTGTTTTTTAAAATAATACACCAGCTATAATGCACATGGTAGCTTATGGGGAGAGGGGAGGGTCAGATTTATGTAATTTTCTTGAGGTTTTTCTCCAAAGCCTGTTTTTTTTTTTCTTTACCCATTCTGATTTCTTTGTCAGCGTCCTTTGAGGAAACTCCTTCTACCACTGCTTACCTGTAACTGTTTCACAACAATTTGGGAATTTCCCGGGACTGAGGTAGGCTGTGACTTGTCCAGGGCCACATAGCCAATAGGTGTCAAATGAAAGCTTTGAACCCAGATGTTGGTGATTCAGAGACTAGTCCCTCTACCCACTAAATACGTTACCTTTCTAATTTCTTTTGTGTCTGTGCTGATTTCCATACTTGTTTTGAATTTAGTAATATTAGAAAGTACTGGATAGAGAACTGGTCTCCAAATCAGGATGAACTGGGTTCAAGTGCTGCCTCTGACTAATTATGACCCTGACAAAGTCAGGCAACTTTTTTAAAACTAGGAAGTGAAGGTGTTTGCTTACATTTATAGAGGACATTTCTTTATGGGGAGACTCCCTATGTCAATAAAATCACCAGTCTAGTCCCTATCTCCAGTATCACAATGGTTCTACAATTTGGGTCCTCATCATTTCTGCCTTGAGTAACCTTATGGCACTGATGATTTACTATGTTAACTAATCAAAAACTAATTCAGTTATCTTTGACAACTTTCTTTCTTTATTATGAGAGTAGCTTTTCAGAAGCCATTTACTTTTCTTTTTCCAAAAATTAGACTTTTTTTCCCCCCAAATTAAATTGAGACCTTTTTTATTTTAACCAATGGCTTATACTCAAAATTTTGGAACTCCTATGAGCTTTTAGTTTTAGCACCTAGGACAGTGCCTGACACATAATAGGTACTTTATAGATTCTTGCAGATTGATTGAGTTTTTTTTTCTTTTTTCTTTTTTCTTTTTCCTTTTTGCTGGGCAATGGGGTTAAGTGACTTGCCTAGGGTCACATAGGTAGTGAGTGTTATATGTCTGAAGCAGGATTTGAACTCAGGTCCTCCTGAATCCAGGGCCGGTGCTCTATCCACTGCGCCACCTAGCTGCCCCAGATTGATTGTCCTTTAATCCATGAGCTTTTTGGAGTTCCTTTTAAGGATGTTTAATACTGTGTTGCAGGAAAATGACTAAGTTTATAAAAGTCCAGATAAAGTTTTGGTTAGGCAGTTACCTGGTTGTTAGATTAATTGGGAAAGTAGTGGCAACAGTGGCTAAAATTGTGAAATGGATGAGGGATCTAAACTCTTGGGTATTGGCTTGACTTTCAGGGCCTGTATTTGTGCACCAGATTTTTTAATGAACGGTGAGAATTAGACTCCTTGTATTTGAATTTTTTTCCCCAAGTGAAAAGGATTACTAAAATTTATCTCTTCAGCTAATTATGCAAGTGTGATTTTATTTTTCTAGAACTGTTACCCAGATTGTTCCTGTTGTGGAAAAACTGATTTAAATGAATGCATGCAGTTTGAAGCTGTGATTTCACACAAAATTTCAAATTGCAATGTACTGGAACCCTTTGATATTTTAATATTTTAGAGTTGGGGTAATAATGTGCCACTTTGGATTGTCTAGCTCCTCTGTTTTTTTATTATACTTATTAATAATTGCCTTTTATTCTACTTATAGCATCCAAATTGCCTACTTGCATCCACTTATGTTTTTCTGTTATTGTTTGGGTTATTTCTAATTTTAATTCTTAAGAGATTTTATTGGTCATGGATTCATAGGCATAGTGTCCTTGGGAGAATGTTGTTAGAGAGAAGGTCTTTTGCAACTAAGAGCAGTTTGGGGATCCTTGAACGTGGTGTCTTAATGAATTCAGTCTAGCCCAGTTTATTTACTCTTACTCAGTTCTGAGTCTATTTTATTACTCATTTGCAATACGAATCCAAGCTATACATATTGATACATTAATTCAGCAGATATGCCATCCTCTGGGCGTAGTATCTTTGATGTGCTTTGTTTTTTCACCCCATTATTTGTGTTTGGACCAAACTCAGAGACGACTAGATGGCACAATAGAGAGAGTGCTGGGCCTGGAGTCAGGAAGAAGACCTGATTTCAGATCTGGCCTCAGGCAGTTTACTAGCTGTGTGATCTTGGGCAAATTACTTCAGCGTGATTTTCCTCAGTTTCCTCAACTGAAAAATAGGGATGATAATCTTGAAGGGTTGTTGTGAGAATCAAATGAGATAATATTGGTGAAAGTACTTAGCACGTAATGTGCTATGTAAATACTTGTTCCCTTCCCCACCATTCCCAATATATTACTGCGGATTTCACTGAAGAGGCTTGTGGTGTTTGGGGGAAATCAGTGCAGCTTTTACATTGTCATCTACAAATAGAAGATTTGGAGACTCTTGCCATAGGAAATTTCCCTTTTGTTGAGACTTAATTATGGCTAGTTTAGCTTTTAGTTTTTTTTAGGCTTTATTATACAGAGGATCTTCCATGACATTAGTGAATACCTATAGCAGACATATCTTCCTCTCTTCCTGTTTACATGTCATTTTGATGTTAATACCCAGCAGATTGTTTGACAGAATAATCTCTAGAGTTGTACCTTTTGTGGAATTTTGTATAATTTTGCTGTATATCTGAGAGATGTTTTGTCTAAGGAAAGCTTTCAAGATTGTATTTTATTCTACCAAGTCAAATGCTTTAAAAAAAAAATCAGTGGGATGTCTTATATGCTGTACACCTTTTAGTCATATGAATATAAAGATGTAGTCTGTAGTGAAAAAACATGCAAAAGCCTAACTCCTATTCTCTTGATTTTGTGAAGTTTGCATTCAGTGTGCACAGGCCCATTTCATAAAAATTTTATGTAGCTAAGAAAGAAATATATAATGCTAAGAAGCAAGTATGTGGGTCAATACTTGCTAATGTTTTCTTGGTTACTTAAATTTAAGAAAAAATTGATGCCTTTCATTTTTTATATCATTCCCATGTGGCTATCTCTATGCTGGAAAATACATTTGCAACCTTCCTTGTCATAAAACAGTTAAGCAAAAATGACCAATATGAAGGGGGTATGTGTGTTTGTGTGCTTGCGTGTTTATGTGTAGAAGTGTAAAAGAATGATTTGTGGTCTTTCTCATTCTTTTGAAATCAGATGACAATTGATTGAAGTACTTGGCTTCAAAGAGTGTTGCCTCCAGCACAGGTTTTTTCCATAAATACTTGTTAAGATCTAGTTGCTAGTCTCAGTTTTATAATAAATTGTTATAATTAATTTACATATATCAGATACTAAGATGGAACTATGCCACATTTGGACTCTCCCACCATTGTGAGAACACTGTAAAAATGTCAGTAGATTGGTTTAATTTCCCATCTTCATATGTTCTTGGGATAAGCCAGCTTAACTGGATTTTATACCAAGATCTCTGTAGGCTCCTTTTTTTTTTTCTCAGCTGTTTTTTTAAACTATTTTTGAAGTATATACTGTATATACTTTTGAAGTATATGCTGCTTGTAATCTGCCATTTTCCTTGGTGTAATATCTTAATGTGGTTTTTTTTTCTTTTTTTGGCAGTGGGGTTAAGTGACTTGCTCAGGGTCACACGGCTAGTAAGTGTCAAGTGTCTGAGGTCAGATTTGAACTCAGGGCCTCCTGACTCCAGGGCCAGTGCTCTATCCACTGCACCACCTAGCTGCCCTTGGTGTAATATCTTAAAAATAAGCTTTTACAATAAAACAGGCATCACCCTTGTTCACAGAAATTGTTAGCTAGGATAAGTTTCTAGGTTCTTTGAGCTTTCTTGTGAATTGGGCTACTATTCGGATTGAATTAAAAGTTAACCAAAACAGAATGCCAATTTTGTGATTCTCCATATTCTTATATTTCCCAGTTGTGTGTTCAGGGTCTGACAAGTAGCTGCTTTTCCATGAAATTGTTTTATATCAACTGCTTTTTTCCTCCTGAATATATACTTGGCAGGCTACAAACGTCCTGTATGATATAGTAGAAATAAAAATAGTACTGGTGTGTATTCTTAGTGTTTTTGCAGTAGTGCTGTCACTGATTAATTTGCCTTCTTTTCAGCAAAGAGGTTTGACAAGAGGCTTTCTCCTTTGGTTACCTCTACTACTACCACTCATGGTTTAGAGTAGAAGAGGGAGGAACTCTACTTTGGGTTAAAACTATGGAACTTCATTCCTTGTCCTCAACTTTGTATCTTTTTTCAGTACTAAGTATCTCAAAGTAAGCCAGTCATTGAAAAAAATCACTACAGTTTGAGGAATTTCAGAGTATAAACCATAGATAGCTATGTAGATAGATAATTGTGTAAAGAATCATTATTTCCAGATTATTTTAGTAGTTTCCTTGTTCTAGACTTCCCTTTACCCCTCAATTTATTTCCAATCTAAGAGTTTCTCTTCTTGGTTTTCTGTGTTAGTATTCTCATATCAGATACCGTGCTTCTAAACCTCCTATTCTAAGCTACATCCCCCTTCTTCTAGTCTACTTTGATTACAAAATAATAAAATAGATCTGTCTAAGGCCCTCCAATTAAAGTAGAAACATCTCTTAGTCTTAATTTTCCTTATTCTAGTAGCTCTAGGATTTGGCTGTTTATCACCAGCTTTCTGGATGTTAACCCAGCTTTCTAGCCTCTTTACCTCCAAATTATCTAGCCTTTTCTGGCTATTATCGTTATACCTTCTCTTCTCTTATAGCTCGCTAATTTTTATTGTATAGGATGCCTAGGTCCAAAGGTTTTGATCTGCCAGATAACTTCCAGTCATTGGAATTAATTGCTTCCTTAGAGATATAAGCCTCAGACTTGACATATATAAAATGACTTCTACAGAAAAAGAAACAGAGTAATGCAAGTAAGAGGATGGAGAGGGCTATTGGTGACAGGGAAACTTCCTGTCAGTCACGTTGTGACTCTGAATTTTTAACCAAATTGATACTTTGTAAATAAATAAAAATATGTTCTAATGCACTGTGTTTTTGTGTCTTCAGAGGATCTTTGCCAAAGCTTTTTGTTGTTGTTGTTGTTGTTGTTGTTGTTGTTGTTATTTGTACCATATCCTTGAGAATTGTTGGCCAAAGCCTCTAGGATCTCTCAGTGCAGCTTGGTAGTATGAGCATCTACACTGGTTGCCAGAACAATAGCACTGGACTTTTTTTTTTCCTACTAATTTGTCTATTCCAAGAATGTTGACAATGAGGCTCTCCTGCCACATTTCTGCCTAGGATCTCTACTTAGAGGACACAGGAAAGGAATAAAAGCAATAAAAATTATTTAAATGGGAAATGTGGGTGTAACTTTGTTGTCCCAGCCCTCAGCAAATCAGAATGGTTCATAAATTGAAGAATCAAAGATGAGCAAAATGACAATTTTACTTTAGGGGCATCTTAAAAAGTTGAAGACCATATAGTGACTATTGAATAATAAATGAAACCACCAAAGGTTTAGCAATGTGGTTGGATGACATTTGGACCCTTTGCACTTGCAGTTTCTTAGTGTAGTTAATGATGGTGACATATCCTGGCCTTGTTAGGCTGTTGATTTCTTTATTCTTGAGCATTTGTTTTACTTCTGCTTGTGTGTCCTCTTGAGGATATGAGCTCTTTCATTGATCTGAGGTTATTTGCCATCATGCTTGTTCTTTCTGGCTGATTGTGGAAATGGTATAGTCCTAGGAAATAAACGACTTGTGTGTATGAAGGAGACTCTAGAAAGTTTGAGCAGTTATTTCAGGTTGCAGGCATGTTGCAAGCCACACCAACCATGGAATCGCTAATGTCTTAACATTTTTCTTTTTGTTTGAACTTAGGAGCAGAGGCCTGGCCACCAGGGGTTTGTCTTAAGTATGTTGGGGGAGACCAATTTGGACATGTGAACATGGTGATGGTGAGATCGTTAGAACCCCAAGAGATGGCAGATGTCAGCGTCCAGATGTGCAGTCCCAGCATAGCAGGAATGTATCAGGGACAGTGGCGTATGTGCACTGCTACAGGACTCTACTATGGAGGTGAGTCTGTCATGGTAACTCTAGATGAAAAGCATTCTCATTGCTCACGGAACCTTCTTGTGCAACATCTTTTAAACAATCCCCAAATATAGAGCCTAAAATAAATTTAGAGTAGGATAAACCCTATCCTACTCCATGTGGGGTAGATTTATTTCCTTTTATCTTGGTAATTTGATTTAAAATTAACTTAGTAAGCAAAAGGAGTATGCTAATGTGCCATGCTATATATTGCTTATTATTAGTATTATGCTTATCACATAAGGTGTTAGGTGCTATACAGAGTACAAAAGTCATAGTCCTCATCCTCAAGGAGGTTAATAGAGACCAGCCATACCAAACAGACATGGGATAAGTATACTTTTATGTAAACATTTACCAAGTGGCAAGCTAAGAGCATTTATTTCTCCTTTTTTCTTGCTTTTTAGTGCTTTTAGATGAGAGAAAATTGGTGTATATTATTATTATTTTATTCCAAAGATCATTCTTTATCTTGTTTGCTTTTAGTATAAAGTTGGGAATAATTATCATCATTTTGTGTAATGGTAGTTAAGGTGGTTTTTTTTTTTTTAAACTAATACTGGAGGCAGTATAGACCTCCATTATATGTAATATAGGCATCGTGGACTTTTAGGGATGGAAGGAACCTTAGGAGCTCGCCTAATCCACCCTTTCCTCTAGGCCAGGCCCATTCTTGAACATCTTTAAAGAGATGAAAATATATCTTGTTCTACCCAAAAATCATTTTTTAATCAAATAGAACTGTCTTTTTTGGGGGGGGGGGGAACAGGGGGTGACTGTTTTAACAGTCTTCATAGGATCACAATGTTTAGAAATGGAAAAGACCTTAGAGTCTTAAAGTCTAACACTCTCATTTTACAGATGAGTAAACAGAGATATGTGAAGTAAAGTGTTTGCCTAAGATCTTAGAGGTCCAGATTTGATCCCAGGTTTCCATATCTTTGCATTGAACCACAATGTTTTCTTGGACTAAATCTTAGAGGGTCTGATTTTCCTTTGTTAAATACTATCTTATTTCTGTAATGGTAGCAATCATAAAGTAATTTATTTTTAATTTTTTGACATTTACAGAAGGGTTTCTTGTCTTTTTTCACTTTAGTTAGGTTGAATTAGATGTCACATTTTAAAAATCCTAGGTGGCACAATGATTAGAGTCCTGTGTCTGGGGTCGGGAAGATCTGAATTCAAATGTGGCTTCAGACACTTATTAGTTGTGTGCCTTACGCAGGACACCTGTTTGCCTCAGTTTCCTCAACAGTAAAATGGGGTTAAAAACAGCATCTGTCTTGCACAGGGTTGTTGTAAGGGTCAAATATCAAATGAGATAACCATTGTAAAGTGTTTAGCACAGTGCTTGGTACACAGTACGCAATATATAAATGTTAGCTATTATTATTACAGTTGTCACTTAGCATTTATGGGGGTTAGGGGTGCAGGACCCCCCATGAATATGAAAAACTTTGAATAACTCTAGGTCCCATTCCAAACCTTTATTTTTAATAATTCTGATCAGATTTAAAACACAAAATAAGTAAAACACACTGCAACCATAAAAAAGTTGGAGTTTCTATGAGAGATTAATATCTCATACACTATGTAGTATCTTTGCAGCTGCTGGTGTAGCTGCAACAAATGCTTCATGGATTTCCTTCTCCAAAGCACAAGATATACAAAGATCACTTCGGGAGAAAATCATGTGGCTGTTTCTGGATAGTAGAGAGACAAAGAGGGAGCATTCCCAAAAAGAGTGCTTAGTTTGTATTTAGTGCATTGAAACTTGTAACAAAATGTAAGTGTTTATAATTTATGAATGTATACATATGGTAGTAAAAGATTATTATAGAGTAATAATTTACAATATTTATGCATTTATGACTTAGTGAATTTTTTTAGTTTTCTTTACATATTGCATCATTTACAATTTTCCACAGTACATCACAAATCTACAAAAATTCCATTTAATTATTGGTGGCCAACCCTCTAATAACTACAGTCACAAATCTGAAACATACAGATGTCAAGGGATAACTGTTTTTAGCTATTAAGCACTGTTTCTTACATGAAACGTTTCCTGATCCCCCAAGTATCTCTGATCTCACTTGCCAGCTTTGAATTTACATTATATTTACATTATGTATGAGGCAGTGTGGCATGGTGGAGAGGTAGTTAATTGTTCTCAGAACCAGGAAGGCCTTGCCTCAATTCCTACCCCTGAGATCCACTGGCTGTGTTGCCCTGGACAAGTTACTTTACTTGTCAGTGCTGCAGTCCAGCAGGGTCAAACTCAAACAGAAACAGATCTCTGTGGGCCACACACTGACTTAGAAAATCACAAATCAACATTATCTGTGGTTTACTGTACTATTTTGTTGAACATTTCCTAAATACATTTTGATCTGACTCCTCCATGAGTTCGGGGCCCCAGGTAGCCTTGACCCCTCTCTCATCTTACTTTGCATTAACAGAGGAAGCTCCTTACCAGGTTCTCTCTATACTAATTAGATCACAAGTCCAAGCCCTACCCCTATGCCTACTTTTCCATCTATTTGTGTCTGTACGTGTTGTTACATGCAACATATTTCATGGGATATATACTCTCTCAGGGCAAGCAAATTTGATTTTTGTCTGTGTCTTCCACACTGAGTATAGTGACTGGCACACACAGTAGCTTAATAAATACTTATTGATTGACTGTTCTCCTTAGGGGAGAAAAAAAAACAAGTGTGACATCTTTTATCTATAAAGTGAGAGGTTGACTGAATGACCTCTAGGTCTCTTCCAGCTCTAAATCTATGATTCTGTAATTAGGCTGAGTAAGATTGAGATTACAAATGATATCTGACCTGTCAGTGAGACTGATTTTTTTTTGTGTGTGTTAATTGTTTGGTTGTTATAGTCGTGTCTGACTCTTTGTGATCCTGTTTTGGGTTTTCTTGGCAAAGATGCTGAAGTGGTTTGTCATTTCCTTCTCCAGTTCATTTTTACAGGTGAGGGACTGAGGCAAATAGTGTTAAATGACTTGCCCAGGGTCATACAACTAGTGTGTCTGAGGCTGGATTTGAGTTAAGGTCTTCTTGACTCCAGGCACAGAGCTCTAACCATCTTGCCACCTAGCTGCCTTTGAGGGCCTAAACAAAGATAGTTGTGGTGTGAATGGATGTAGATAAATATGAGAAATGTTCTGGAGATAAAATTGACAAGACTTGGCCACTGATTGGCTATGTGTGGATTGAATGAGAGTAATCAATGACTCCATTATCACAACAGTGACCCCAAGTTTCTCCCTGAAGCCAAGGCCCATTGTTTTTTAACAGCAGTTGTTTGGTGTTGTCAGGTCAAAGTTGGTGGTTACTCACAAGGCAATATGGAGATTCATGGTGGGCATAAGTAAGTTATTGTTGTTCATTTGTTTTCAGTCATGTCCGACTTTTCATGACCCCATTTGGGAATTGGTACTGTAGATGGTAATCAGAGCTGTATTTCTAAAAAAGGAGATGGTCCATTCATGTAGCTTTTGATACCTACATAATGGCAAGAGGGCTAGAGGAAGCCCCCTAGAATGTTTAATATTTATGGGAGGATCTATGAGAAAATATAGATGTGATTTGCATTGTTGCAGGAAATTCCCGTGTTGATAAGATTACAGGCCTGTTGAAACATGAAAATACATACCACTGGAAGGTTTTCTATGTAGTTGATGAACATTATTTCTTTTTTGATGTACATTATTTCATTTGATCCTCAAAACAGCTTTATGAGGTAGACACTACAGGGAGCGTCACTATTTAAAAAAGGCGTAGCTCTTTACTCATGTATACATTCATATTCTCTCTCTCTTTAGTTTGAACTAATTTTTCTTTTTAGTTCACAATTTCATCATCCCTCTAGAGAATTAAAAGGGGAATTAGAAGAAAATACATCTTCATTACAGCATTCTAATTCTGTTTTTGTGGTCTTTAAAATGAGTCATGTAAATTTTAAGCCTTTGTCACTATTAATATATATACACTAACTTTCATTTGACTTATTTGCTCTTAATAAGATGTGCTGATATTGATAATAGTTTAAACCACAGATACAGCTTTGTAAGCAACAGTTTTTTATATTAGATTTTATTAAAAATAACTTCATTATTAATCTGTCTTTCAAGTCACTCTTTGGTTTGAACCTTCATGTTGATTTTGTAAAGTGAACATAAGCTACCTTGTCAAGCTTAAACCGGTTTTTTATTTTTTATTTTATATATGCCATATATATGTATATACACATACTATATGTTTAGTATAAAACATAAAATCAATTTTATTATAAATTTATCAATTTTAGTATAAAATATAAAATCAATTCTATTGATTTCTTTTGTTTTTACATCACAATCATTCACGTTCTACTTTCCATTCCAATTGAACTGTCTTGTGACAAAAGTAGCTAGCATAAACAAACAGGAGAGTAAATGTATCTGACTATTATATGAAAACATTCTGCTGTAATATTCTCCCATCTCTCTGCTTTTAGGAGAGGAAGCTATTTTTTTAGCTGAAAAAAGTGACTTTTTCCTTGTAATGGTTTTTAAAAATTGATGCCTTTTATGATACTATAAAGCAAACTGGGAGAGCAAGGAATAGTTTACCTGTCAGATCTATGGAGCATAGAAGAATTCATGACCGAACAGGAGATAGAGAACATTACAAAAAGCAAAATAGAAAATTTTGATTACATTAAATTGAAAAGTTTTTGCACAAACAAAGCCAGTGCAACTAAGATTAGAAGGAAGGTAGAAAATTGGGAAAGAATTTTTACAACCAGTCTCTCTGATAAGGGCCTCATTTCTAAAATACATAGAGAATTAAGTCAAATTTATAAGAATACAAGCCATTCCCCAGTTGATAAATGGTCAAAGGATATGAACAGGCAGTTCTCAGATGAACAAATTAAAGCCATCTATAGTCATATGAAAAAATGCTCTAAATCACTATTGATTA